TGGTGGAGTACTTGGCTCATTTATTGAAAGACAGTTTAAGGAAATAAATTTGTATTCGCCCTTTATCCTATCCCATTTCTCACCCCCAGTAGTCTAAAACTATCTGATATTACATGTAAATGAATACATATGGAATACTGTTACTTCAAATATGTCAAGAAATCTCACCTCCAGTACTCATGTTCTTTTAGTTTTTTCCAACACAAAATCCCCACTGGGTCGTGTGTCTCGCAATGACCCCCAGAAACAACAAGCAAGAGGAACGTGGAAGCTTGCTAAGTAATCCAGCACAGGGACTCATCCTTTTAGGATGCTCCTTGCTCTCTTCAAATGCTCTTTGCTCTGAAGAAGCCCACACTCTATGTAAAGACTACACACTGAAAGGACCTTGGCTATCCACCAGCTATTCCAGCCATCCCAGCTGAAGCAACAGCTCTAAAAGTTAAAATGCCACCATGGACATTACAGCTAACAAATGATACATGGAAGTCTCCAGCAAGCCCTGCTCAAATTTTAGAATCAACAGCAAATAAATGATCTCTAGAACTTTTACAATTAGGTCCTGGACAACTTTATTATGCAGCAATAACCAATACAATACAAGTAAAGCACTGATTCCTGTTAGGTAGTAAGCAATAAAAGCATGTCAGTGGTAATAACTGTCTTTTTAATCCCTCCTGGTCACATTTTGGGTATCTGAGTGTTCTTAGTGGCATTCTGCTCATTTGGCCAGTAAAGAAACAGGAGTAAAGCAACCAGAATCACTCTACACTTTCTCTTCTTTCTTCCTAACCTATCCTGTCCTTTTTATCTGTCAGTAACATCTGCCTGGTTTCCCAAGAGTAGCTAAGCACTCATTCTGAGCATTTCTGGCCTCTGGCTGTGCTCTGTCCCTCAGCACTGCAGCTATAAGCATCCTTTCAACTTCTTTCCAGACCACAGATGAGGTTCAGTAGAAGGGATTCGTCACCAACAACCAGAAGTTTACACTCATTCAACTCAGCATGTTTTAACCTGGTAAAATCATTAGGCAAAAGGAGCTGAGACCAGTAACCTTTTGTTCAGAAAATAAATTAAGCATTAGAAAAACTTAACCTGCTACCTTTCTCAGTAAATTTACTAATCCTAATAATATACATTTGTTATTCTTTTAGCCCCTATTAACCCTTCGCTTGTACTTCACTCATGGTATTTACCTTAATGTAGCCTAAATCATAGCTACTGGGTTAGGTAACGGTCCCACTGGATCTAAAACTTCCCTGGAAAAGCGACACAAGAAAAGGAGCACTTTAGTCATTGCTGTAACCCTTGAAACACCTCTGCTACTCATGCAAATACAGTAAAAATATGAGTCTTGATGAGCCACCACTCTGTCCACAACCATTCTTTACAATTCTCACCCCTATTTTTATCTTTCTCTTCCCTATCTTTATTAAAAAATAATGACTCACCATAGTTTTAATGTAAACAGTGACCAAGCTAATGAATGCTATGGGTCCCCTCATTAACTTCTGTCAATTATGTGACTTATGAATAATTTTAGTTTTGCCAGTAAAATTATTTTTAAAGAAAGGAAAGGAGCTATTTACAACCCTTATTTTCTCTTAAAGTTGCAGGCTTCAGACGCCTGAATATTGGGTCCAAGGTAAGATCTAGGTCAGATACTAGCCAACACCAAAGGCAGAGTGGGTGTAGGGGAGACTACAGCAAACTGCAGGGAGTAATACACATCGAAAAGCAACTTCTACTCAGCTCTAGCACCTGCTGTCAAGCAGGAAGAGCCACCAGGTACAGCCAAGTCTTGTGACTTTTCAAGAAGTGACAGAGATCAAGACTTCTAGATGTGATATCATCTTATTTTTAAAAGATGGCAACTAATTACTAAACGTTCCAAATACACTAGAAGCCAGCAATATCTATCTGTGGACCGAATTCTCTCCAAAGGACTCTACCACTGCAAACTAACGGTTCAAAATCCCTCCACATAATCTCACCAGGGGAAAAAATTCTCCTTTACCAAAACCCTACAGAGAAGAAAAACACGAAAAGAGTTTCACAACATCACAGAGTACCAATGACAAAGTCTTTTTAATCTAACCTTTTCTCTGTCCTGAAAAATAAAGTTAGCAATTTTTAGTAACAAAATTCATAGCTGAAAAAAAAAAAAAAAAAATATATATATATACACACACACACACACACACACACACACAGGGAAAATTTGTCCTTTTATATTTTTTTCTAAAAACTTATAAAAAGGGAAATATTCCAATTTTACACAAACCTTTCCAGCCTTAACCAAACTAATGGACATGCTCAGCAATAAGCATGAGACCATACACACAGAAAAACAAGATATAAAATGCTAACAGCATTAGTATACTCACAGTGGTCTATCGACCTGCATCTTGTCACATGACTCATGCGCACCAGCACAGAGCCAGCCAGAATCAAGGCAGAACTCGCAAGGAACCCTAGACCTCCAAACCACTTGTGGACTCAATTCTATTACCTCCACCTTCTTAACACCACACGAGGTGATCAGTTATTAGCAGTCAGATAGTAACTTAGCCCAAGAATGTTTCTCAATTCTTTTTACAAAGGAGTGACATTATTTGACCAAATTGAGACTTTTTCTTTCCATTTAAAAATGAAAATTATAGTGAACACTTGAATTTCACTTCTAAAACTGCTTAACTTTCTTCTAGGAGCCTTTAAGAAGTTAAAACAAAAATTTTAATACACTCAATTATAGTAGGACTTCTTTTGGAGTTCAAAACATTCTCTAAAATAGTTAAAAGATCTCAGCGCAGTGCTGGCACCTGTAATCCCAGCTACTTAGGAGCCTGAGGCAGGAGGATCCCTGGAATTTGAGGCCATCCCGAGAACTTGAGGAAAACATTCTGGGACCTTGTCTCAAAAATAAATAAAGTAGCTATTAATTAGTAAGGCGATACCTATACCAAAAGAATTAGTAGGCAATTAATTAATTTATTGGAACATTTGGTATACGCCAGCCACTGCACTGAATAGTTCAGAGGTCTCATTAAATCTCAAAAATAACCGTATGAGTGAGGCAACATTATTACCCCCATTTTTCAGATGGGGAAACAGACCTTCCCAAGATCACACAGCTAGTAAGCAGCAGAGTCAGGACTCTAACCCAACCCAAATACTGTCTAACTTCAGAATTTACATGTTTAACCCTAAACTGCCCCGTGTCTAGCAACTCTGAATTGGTCTCTGAGATTTTTAAAAAGCAAATTTGTACTATGAGTGGCAGATTTTAACGATTTGCTAGGAAATGGACTGGGGATGTAGCTCAGTTGTAGAGAATTTGCCCGGCATGCACAAGGCCCTGGATTCAATCCCCAACATTGTTTAAAAAAAAAAAAAAAAAAAAAAAAAACCTAAAGGTAGAAGATACTTTTTAAACATCAACTATTTTTACGTACCTCGTCATAGAAATGTTATTGTATTCCTAAATACACACAAAACAATGACAGTCTTACCTAAAGGACCTCTCACAAACGCAATTTTCCCTAAGTATACAATCATGTTCATTAAAAATTTGACAGGAACACTCTGCACTTTCCACTCAATTTTGCTGTGAACCTAAAAGTACTCTGCAAAGCTATTTAAAGTAAGCGAAGAATTAGAATGACATAAATGTGCTTAAGTCCATTCAGTAATGACATGGCACAAGATTGTACTTTTTTCAGTTCCAAAAGTTGCATTTGTTTATTATAAAAACAACACCAAGCATGTAGTGGGCATTTGACAAACATTTAATTGATCAATATTCTCAAAAATACTTGATATGCAAGTGGTTCTGTAATATTAGCATTTTTACACTTTCAGAACATTCCTAGAGAGGTCTGCGATATACATATAAGGTGGAACGAAATTAGACGAAAATAACTGAACTCTGTCATGAGTAACACAAAGGGAATACCGCATCTCTACACTACGGCTCGCATAAATAAACTCACTTTTCTACCTTAAGTATCAAATAAGTAACCTTAAGGCAAAAATAGGTTTATATTACAGAAGCTTTTCTTAATTGTTTTTTACATCCTTTCCAAACTCTCTAAAGAACCTTATTTAAAAAACACAAGACTTTCAATCTCCCAGAGCATGAAGTAAATCTTTTTTCCCAACAAGTTGATGAAACTCTAAAGGCCTATTAAGACTGATGTGAGGGACAAAATTTTGCCTACAATTACCACTTCCCACCTCAATCATTTCTTTTTATCAAGGTCTACCTTTATTAAGAAGGAGCTTCTAATGTATACAAAAGCATCATCTGTCCTGTACATTCCGCAGTAAACTATCAAAACTAATTTTAAAAGACCGTATTGGCCACCAACAAAAAGTGTCAAAGGGGAGCAGGGTTAATTTTTGTTTTGCTGGACTTACAAAATCTCAACATGTAAGTACACAATATGAACAAAAGTTATGAACACTGTGGGAAGTACGGGCCTCAGTCACATCTCTAATTCACAGAACTCTCTCCCTGACCCCTCTGAATCACTATGCTTTCAGCAGACAAAAGTTGGGATTTGCAGTGCCTCGAACACAAACATTCTGACCAATGCACTTTCCAAATTACATTAGAACAACCCTTATTAAAATCCCGGAGCCGAAAGCTTCTCCCGCAGCGCTAGCTGCAGCAGGGAGCGCACGCAGGTCACCCGGCTGTCACGGCCAGGGAGCTGCGGGCTCCGCCGCGTCCCCGCTCACACCTCCACCTGGACCGCGCAGAGGCACACACATCCGCTTCTCCCCGACACACAGTTCCCACCTTCCAGAACTTGACATCCTCCCAGGGGGGCCCTAAGCCCATGTAGGCACCCGGGGGGAGTCTGTCTGCAGGGAACACGGCCGATCCTGAAATCGCGGCGCCAGCGCAACCTCAGGCGCCCGAACTTCGACAAGGCAGCTGCGGGGAGCCCTCCGCGCCTCTTCTCCCGACGCTGCGCGGCCGCCGCGCGACTTACTGGTTGGTCGGAGGGGCGGTCAGCGGGATGGCCACCTCTTCCTCCTCGTACTCGGGTCCGTCCAGGGAGTCGCCCTCGTCCACGGTGCCCAGGCCGGCGCCCAGCGAGGGCAGCAGCGGCGGCGGCGGCGGCAGCGGCGGGAAGGC